AAAAGGGTACACTTGTTCATTGTTGGTGGGACTGCAAATTGGTGCAGCCAATTTGGAAAGCAGTATGGAGATTTCTTGGAAAGCTGGGAATGGAACTACCATTTGACCCAGCTATTGCCCTTCTCGGTCTATTTCCTAAAGACCTAAAAAGAGCATGCTACAGGGACACTGCTACATCGATGTTCATAGTAGGCTTTTGATAGTATCTTCTATTTCTTTGCTTGAAATTTATCTGTATAAATTGTGTATGTCCTCTTGACTCAGTTTGGGTTGATCATATGCCACTGTAGTGTATCTTAACTCCAACCACAGCTCCTCTGGCTTTAGTCATTTATCAAAGCTAAAAATCATACTATAAAGATACATAAAGAAACAAAACAAATAGAAACTGTTAGATTTCACGACTAAAAAATTAGGTTCACTCCAGGTGAACTGGGCTGCATGAAATAATTACACAGAGACATAGAAATACCTTGGGTCTTGTGACAGTTCCTCCAACCTTAGGGGGTCCATGGAAAGAGAGAGAGAGAGAGGGAGAGAGAGAGAGAGAGAGAGAGAGAGAGAGAGAGAGAGAGAGAGAGAGAGAGAGAGAGAGAGAGAGAGAGCGCATGTTGAAACATTTTATTGGGAAGAAGCCATTCAAATGAGGCAAGGGGTCAGGTTTCAGGGAGTTCAGTCTACCTACGTGATGTCTGCTGTCAGCAGGTTGACTGACATCTGGGGAGGTCATACCTATCTCATGAGCTGTATGGGGATCATAGCAGAGCAAGCAAAAAGACCAGAGCGAGGCTAGCCCAAACAGCTCAGCAACATTGGTTCAGGCCACTTTGTGTGCTCAGTGTTCATAGTTCACACACACTCAGCCCATGCCTGCCTTGCCACATCTCCTCATTCTCATCATTCAAGGTCAAAGGGCACTCAATTTCTAAATGGAAGTTCCCAACAGAAAGCCAAACTTGATCAAGGCTTCTTTAATGAACAACTTCAGTTGCCTTCAATTTTGTATTTCTGCTGAATCAAACACCCTCATGTTGCCATTTGGTACCATAATGCACCAATCTATATTCCAAGTAGTAACAGGTTAGTTGAAAAGGAAGATGAAGCAGTTAAATGAAACAAGCAAAATATGCTGACAATGGTATGGCCAAACAATTCTGAGCAACATGATCTAGCATTAATGTCATCACATTCTAAGTCAGACAATATAATTCTGAAGCAATCTGACAAGTAATATATTTACATGTAGAAAATACTTAAAAACCACCAAAAATCAACATATTTATATAACGTTATTGTTAGAGTTAAGCATTTACTAAATTGATTAATGCCTCAATTACTCTTTCGGACATGCTGTGAGCAATTCAGCACCCTCCTTTAACAGGTACTAAGTTATTATAGTTTAGATGCTTCTCTCAAAGTCCAGAAAGCACATAAATCATTTGAACAAGGAAAAGTTAACATAGACCTATTCATGTCTGAGGCTCTGAATTTAATCCCCAGCACTGAGAAAAAAGAAAAAGAATCAACTAGGGAAAAGTGGTTAACTACTAAAAGAAGTAAAATAAGGCTCAAAAGAATGCAGAAATGGCATATATAGGAAAAAGATAGTACCTCTTGGATTGAGGCAGAGTAGCCAAGGAAGGGTCCCCAATGAGACTGAGGTGCAGAATTCATTGAGGAAGATGGAACCATGGCCCACTGGAAGGTTGAAATGGATCTGTAATGCTCCAACTCACCAGGTATTCTCTTTCATAACACCCTGGCTCCAACATTTCTGACACCAAATGTTTAGAGTTTTCCACACCAATTCTTTGCATATATCTGGGTGTCCTATAATTCAATTAAGTAATTAGCAGAGAGTCCCACAGGTTAAGTGGACCCCACAGTCTTAAAAGTATGCCCCCCATGACTTCAGCTGACAATCACAAGATGGCTACTCAAGTCATCCACCTGTTTCTGAAGTTCCTGTCACTGTAAGGAGGTCCAATGTAGTCTCTCAGTGGCAAAGAAAATCTCTACTCAGGACTTTCAGACCCTTGCCCATACCACAGAAAAGAACGTAAGGATGTGTTTGGCTTTAGTAAAGAGAAGAAGAGCATCATTAGAAAGTGAAAAGTGAATATACAAACCCTCAGAGAATAATGTGGGCAATCTCAAGAGCAAGAAGAACCACACCACCAGGGATTAAGGTCAGGTAATTTTATAGGATACAAAGGTAGAATATATGATCCAAAGGGACAGGACTTCCCTGGAGACTGGAAAATATTGAGTAACATGGTTTCCCATTAGGAAATCTAGTCTGCTATGTTGTTTTCATCTGATATTTGATCAGGTGTTCGATCCAATCAAATGTTAGCCCCTAGCTTCATGAAGTTAGTAGTGTCTTTCTTTTGAAATCTTCTTCAGGCTTTGCTGCATTCCAGAAAATGTATATGGAACTGGAAACTTACAAAATAACTTATGAGATTGTTTGGAGCATTTTTACCTTTGGTCTCTTTCTGTTCCTTAAGATTCTTTGTCCAGGTCAGGAGCAGTTAAAAAGTTATTGTTCCACATCCCAACAGGCACATTTCTCCTTTAGAGCCTTTTTTCTAGTATCCTAAATTTTTATCTCATTCCCAATGCCCATCCTCCATTCCCAAGTCCATCCTCAGATTGGGTGATTTTTCTACAGCCATTTTCTAGAAGGGTTCAGAAAACCAACCGAAACAACTTTCTTTACTAACCAATTTATTATAAAAGATCTTGTAAAGGATACAGTGAAGACATGTATGCACATATAGTGAGGCCCAAAAAAGCCTGGAGAACAGGTATACCTGTCCTGTGATGGATTTTAAGAGGCATCAACCCCAGAAACATGAATACATTGTTGTTCATCAACTCAGAAGCTCCCTCAATATTTTATGGATATTTCACTGTGTCATTATGATTGATCAAATAATTGACTGCTTGGAATTAATTAACTCAACCTTCAGCTCTATTTTGTCCCCTCTCTCATTTTTTACTCATTAAATTTGTTCCTTTGGCAACCTGCCCACATCCTGAGGTGACCCAGGAGCTTTCTAAAAATTGTCTTATTAACATAAACTCAGATGGCTGAAAGGGGCTGGTTATTAATAACAACAGACTCTCCTTTCATCTAAAACAGGAAATTCCAAGGTTTTTAGGAGATGTTTTCAGGGATCAGGGAGCGAAACCACTTTTCAGGAACCTAGGGCAGAGACTAAAAATACAGATAAAGATATCAATACAGAAATTTCGTACTATGTCACCAAAAGTGGGCCTTCTGCACACCACCAGAAGTTGCAACAAAAAGGGAAAACAACCCAGTATGGTGGCCCATGCCTGTAATTCCAGCATTTATGAGGATTACAATTAACCTTGCATCTGAGGCAGGAGTATAACATATTCAAAGCCAGCCTCAGCAACTTATTCATGCCCTAAGCAATGTAGGAAATGTAGGAAAAGACTGTCTCAAAATTTTAAAGGGGGGGGGTGTGCTGGGATTCTAGCTCACTATTGATGCAAGTGTGAGGAACAGGCTTCAATCCTCAGCACCACATTAAAAAATAAACTAAATAAATGTATTGTGTTCATCCACAACTAAAGTAAAATATTTTTTAAATATAGTTTATGAATGTTTCTAAGTGGTTAAGCATCCCTGGGTTCAATCCCTGGTACCAAAATAAGAAAAAAAGGGAAGGGAAGGAAAGGGAAGGAAAAGAAAGAAACAGAACTACCTTGCCTTGCAGTGGCCCATCCAGTGCATTGTACCAACAATATCACATTGTGTCAGATGGCAAAGAAGTGTTTACAAGGTCCAGTTCCAATAACACAAAGAAGACCAACATGGAGTGGATTTGGAACAGAAATGCAATGAAATGATACTGGACTCTGTCCACATATTTGACTTTACACTTTATGTATGCATGCATGTTACACCAATTTACAATTTACAACCATTTGGACTTGCATAAAACAACAAATCTATCATGACAAAGCCACCTGACAAATGAAGAAGTTCTCATCTGTTCCCCCACATAAGGAAAGAAGCACTCCCAGTCACTGTACACTATACTGTTATATTATCCACTCTTCAAATTCAGGCAGTCTTATTGACCAAACTGTTACCTAAAAGATAGCAATTTTATATAAATCATCAATATAAGAAGAGAGAGGAAGCAAATGGTCAACATATACAAATACACACATATATACCACAAGCAAAGAGAAAATATACAAATCTATGACAATCCTTGTTTCTAGAAGGACTGTGGTTATATGTACTTTCTATCTTTCAATTCCCAAACTGTGTTGTCTCTCCCCAAGTCAGAACAACTAGTCACAATTCTTCACCTGGTAGAGTGAACACACCTTATTCTTGCAGAACTAAGTCTTCAATAGTCCTGTCTCTTCTTGTTTGCTATGTTTTTCCGTACACCCCTAACATCAGACTTGGAAATACTAAGAAGAAATGTATTAACAGGAATCATGCTCGTGGTCAAAGTTTGCTGCAATTCACCTTGCATATGGAAATTCTCTTTTTCACTTATGTTTACTCTAATAATTCTTGTCTTTCTTCAGCTGTAGTATATACACAAAGTGGGAATGTAAGGAAAAGTCAAAGAGGGTAACAGGAAGGGGGATATGATCAAATAATAGTATATGTATATATAAAATTGTCACAATAAGAACCAATATTTTATTTTTTTCTCATATTCTGCTTTATTTCTTTTTTTATTAGTTATTCAAAACATTACAATGATTGCAGAATCACATCGGTTACACATCCACATTTTTATATAATGCCATATTAGTAACTGTTGTATTCTGCTACCTTTCCTATCCTCTACTATCCCCCCTCCC